AATATCATGATCCAGCAATCTCACTTCTGGGGGTGTACAAGTATATCCAAAAGAGATCAAAGTATGATTTCAAAGAGAGATATGCACTCCCATGTTTATTGCAGCATTATTCACAATAGCCAAGACATGAAAACACCTAAGTATCTATTCTCAGATGGTTGTATCTAGAAAATGTGGTATATCTAAAATGAAATGTTAATCAGAAAAAAAAAAGGAAATCATGCACTTCACAACAACATGGATGGACTTTGAGGGCACTATGCTAAGTGAAGTATGTCAGAGGAAGACAAATACCATATGATCTTTCTTACAGGTGAAATATAAAAAAAGTGACCTAACATACAGAGAACAGAATGGTAGTTGCCAGAGGCGGGGAGTGAAGGGTGGGTGAGATGGGTGACAAAAGTCAAAAGATACATAATCCCCATGTAAGATAGCTAAGTCATGGGGATGTAATGTAAGCATAGTGACTATAGTTAAAAATACTGTTATTGCATATTTGAAAATTGTTAAGGGTAAATTGCTAAGTGGGTAAAGTTCTCATTACTTATGTACCTGAATTTAAAAGTACCAGCTTAACCCTGGCTGGTGTGGCTCAGTGGATTGAGCACTGGCTTGCAAACCAAAGGGTTGCTGGTTCAATTCTCAGTCAGGGCACATGTCTGGGTTGTGGGCCAGGTTCCTAGTGGAGGGTACATGGCAGGCAACCAACCACACATTGATGTTTCTGTCCCTCACTTGCACTTAATTATTTTGTACTTTTGATTTGTCCTTGTATATATCTGTCTTGCCTTCTTTTGAAATAATTTTTATCCTATATTAGTCTGTCTACTAAGGTGAAAGTAATACAATATGTTTCTGTACTTGTAACTTTAGAAGTTATATATATCCTTATGAAACTCTACTATTAAGATGAGCCTCTTTCCAGATTTATTTTTCCAGCCTAAATTATATGTAGCTGAACTCCAGTATTGGGAGGACTTTAAAGCAAATCATTTCCCAGATTAAATGAAATTACTCCTAGATACAATATTTTTTTTTAAAAAGCAGCCCATACACATTAATAATGTCTTTCCATTTAAAAACAGATTGCAGTTGAATCTGAGCTATTGTTCTGGATGTGGAGCATGTCCTCATCACTAAGTTATGACTTGCTGAAGTAGTTGGAAGAAAGTCGTTATAACAATCCTGAATGTTATATACCTCTGTCACTGATGTCTTTGATGATGTTTATACTTACAAGGTTAATCTCAAAATTTAAGAAAGGAAATAGGGGAAAGAGGATCTTGGGGTAAAAATCCTCAACTTTAGAGGTCCTCCTTTTCTGGTGAGTAAATTTTGCAATGATTCTACCTCAAATTAGAGAGAGAGAGAATGTGTGTGTGTGTTTGTGTGTAAGCAAATTCCTGCTATCCACATTGAAAAAGTGGCTGACTCCAGGACTCTAGCATGGAAAGTATACATGGGCCTGGAACATTTGATTGTGTCAAGAATGAAAGATGTGACCTAAAACTGATGGAGAAAGGACAAATACAGGAGTGACAGAAATAGGCACCCTCAAGTCCATTTAGTACAGTTGGAGCATCAAAAGAATAATGATAGAAATAATTGTAACAATTTTCTACAGTATTCATGAATCCCTGCTGACACTAAAATGAATGTAGGGGGGGAAAAATTTTTTTTTCATTCTCCCCCGAGGACATGCTTATTGATATTAGAGAGAGAAGGGAAGGGAGGGAGGAGAGAAACATTGATGTGAGAAACATTTCGATTGCCTCTTGCATATGCCCCAAGTGGGGACTGAACCTGTAACCCAGGCATGTGCTCTGACTGGAAATTGAACATGCAACCTTTTGGTTTATGGGTATATCATAAGGACAGAGAACAAGTGTTGGTGAGGATTAAGAAGAAATTGGAGCCCTTGTGCACTATTGATGGGAATGTAAAATGGTGCAACCACTATGGAAATGCTCCATCCAACTGAGCCGCACTGGCCAGGGCTCCAAAAAACCTTTTCTTCATAGAAAAATGAACTAATCAATGTAGGAAAAACGATGGGAGAAATTTTAAATTACCATGTACAATTACCATTATAATTATTAATTTAGTAAGAATCATTAGTGGATGTTAAAATACTGAGGTAAAAAAATATTAAGAAGCAAGAAGTATCACTTCCCAGTTATTTCTTAATCACAAAAGGGAGAAAATACCTCTTTTATAGAGAAACCTGGCACATAAATCCTACTGAGGGGTCTAACTTCTTATCACCCGTAAGTTGTCATCATGTGCCCTGAATGTGATTGCCTGAGGATACAATATTACTTATGTAACATTCTTGCCAAAAATATTTAATATGAGTCTAGTCATGGGAAACATGTCAAATCAAAATAGGGAGCATTTCGTAAAATAATTGCTGTGAAATTTTGAGGAATCATGAAAGACAAAAAGAGGCTGGGGCACAGTTGTAAGAGTCATGACTAATGGAGGTTGTTGATCCTTGACAGAATCACGGTGGGAGAGGAGGAGGGAGAGAGAACTTATGAAAGTCATTATTGAGAAAAATGGCAAAATTTGAATAAATATTTTATTTTTTTAAAGATTCTATTTATTTTTAGAGAGAGGGAAAGGGAGGGAGAAAGGGAGAGAAATATCATTGTGCAGTAGCCCCCCTCATGCCCCCCATTGGGGACCTGGCCTGCCACCCAGGCATGTGCCCTGACTGGGAATCTAATGAACGACATTTTAGTTCACAGGCTGGCACTCAATCCACTGAGCCATACCAGCCAAGCCTAGATCTATTTTAAATGCAAGTATTGTATGAGCTTAAATATCCTTTTGTGCTGATTGTCTCTGTTAGAATGCCCTTTTAGGGAATATGTGGAGTGCAGAGGGTAAGATGTCATTCGATCTGCACTAGATTGTGAAATTTTCAACACATGTGTGGGGGTGGCACCCTGTTCACAATTGGTGAATATGTCAAGGGTATACAGGCGCTCACTGTACTGAGCCTGTAATATTCCTATAGGTTTGAACTTTTTCAAAATGAAAATTTGGAAGAAATAATAAATCCCTGCCATCATGGAACCCATACCTGATTGAGACAGTGAGTAAATTCCATGTTATCTGAGGTGTTAAGTGATAGAAAAACAGAGCAGGAAAGGAGGGTGAAGTATAGAATTAGGTCACATTTAGTCAAATTAGGCATCACTGAGGTGGTTATATTGAGCAGTCTCAAAAAGTTGTGTGAGCCATAGATGTCTCTGGAAAAAGGTTTCCTAGGAATTTTATAGCTAGAACAGAAAGCCTAGGTGGGAGAAAGCCTGGTGTTCTCAGTGGGCCGCATGGAACAAGCAGTAAGGGCGTGAGATCAACAGGGTGGCCACATCCTGGGGCCTCGCGGCTCCTGGAGGCTGTTTCCTGTGCATTTTGAGCAGAAAGATGAAACGATGAAGACCAGTCTAACTGGTTGAGAGCAGACATTGAGACAAGTGTGGCAGCGCTGCCCGGTGTGGGCAATGCCAGGATGACCTGGACTCAGAAGCAGCAAAGGGGTTTATTTCAAGGATTTACTAACTGGATAAATGGTGTGAGAAGGGGGCGCTCCTATGCGTTTACACTGGGCAACAGGAAAAGGGGAACTAGGATGAGTGGGTGAGGGGTGTCTGTCAGGACTTGGTTTGGGATCCAAGTGTGGGAGATCTACACAGAAGCAGAGTTGTCACAAGTATGAAATGGAATTCCACGGAGATTGAAATCTGGGCGTCTAAAGCATATAGATGATGGGTGTGAGATTATATAGAAAATTATTTGTCAAGATACTTAAGTGTGCACAAATGTACACTAAAGTTCTCTGTGTAAAATGTGAGAAGTACAGGTTTAGGGCTCAAAAAGCACACAGCTGAGGGGTGAGGAAGGGGTCTATCAGAATACTCAAACACACACCGTCTGGGAGAAGGAATCCAGGGTACCCAAAGGTGGGTCTAGTCATCCACAAACTCGCAGGAAGGTGGGTCCCCAGCCCTGGGGAGGGTAGACCCAGCTAAGGAATGAAACCATCAGGCAGGTGTCCTCCAGAGAAAACAAGACAGCTTCCCAACCATTCTCTCATCTGTGCTAGAGCCAAGGAAGAGAATATGGCCCTGGCTGGGTGTCTCAGTTGGTTAGCGCATTGACTCAATACTGCAAAGTTATGGGTTTGATCTCCAGTCAGGGCAAATACAAGAATCAACCAATGAACGCACAAGTAAGTGGAACAACATACCAATATTTCTCTCTCCCTTCTTCTCTACAATAAAAATTAAAAAGAGAATGTGCCCTCCTTTCACCCACAATATCTTACTGCTTTTTTTTTCTCTTTATAATAATGGTCTGGGGACAGGATGAACTTAAAAATCACCTCTGGCCCTTTCAGGAATTTATAGTCTCAATCGGCTTTAAAAAAATGAGTTCTACCCTGGCTGGTGTGGCTCAGTCAATTGAGCACCGGCCTGAGAACCAAAGGGTCACCGGTTCAATTCCCAGTCAGGGCCCATGCCTGGGTTGTGGGCCATGTCCCCAGCAAGGGGCATGTGAGAGGCAACCACACATTGATGTTTCTCTCCCTCTCTTCCCCTTTGTCTAAAAATAAATAAAACCTTAAAAAAAAAGTGAGTTCTAGGGAGTTCTATCAGGTGAAAGCTGCAGCATTCAATTAAGGTAACTGGAATATATAACATTTGCTGAGCATTTAAGTGCTAAGTGCTGGTGTAAGGCCCCATTGTCCAGTACTGTAGCCACTAGCCACTGTAGCTGAGTAAGTAGTTACATGTGGCTTTCAGCCTATAACTCCCTAGAAAATTGAAGAACTAGAAAGTGTTATGAATGTATTTTGAAGCTATATAGCATTTATGTTTAAGCTACTACAGACAGGTTACCTATTATTGTATTAAAATTTTAACAAACTAAACAACAAATGTTAATTTTTACATTAGCTTTACTTTTCAGTGAAATTAGTACTTGCGACAATCTTCCCTGAAATTATGAATTAACTGTTCAGTTAAGCAGAAATAGATTCTTCTATTGAATTTATAAAACATTTACCTTGTGAGAAACAAATTTTTATCATTTTCATTATTACATAGCATTCTAGGATAACACTGTCTTGAGGTTTCAAATCTGAGAAATCTATGCAAGCTTTAAAAAGTACATTAATCAAGATACAGATTAAATATTAATATACATATTCCACGCCCCAATTCTATTAACACAAATATTAACGTTTTTGTTAATCTCCTGCTCCCCTCCATCCAATATGATTTGACATTGTAGACAAGTGCTTCTCAGTGGGAGCACGTTGGCTGGCCAGCACACTTTTGGCATCTGCAGACACTGTGACTATGATGAGGGGAAGGATGGATACTGATGGTATTTAGTGGGTAGAACCCAGGGATGCTGCTAGATGTCCTTGAATGCACAGGATGAACCCCCACGATAAAAAATTATCCAACAAAAACCAACAGTAAGAAATCCAGTGCTAGAGTATGACCCAATTTCTATTTAACAAATAGCCTGTCTGTCTCCTGTAATTCTGAGAACACAGACTTTGAGACAAATCAGGACATACAGCATTTAATTACCTTGGGCCTGCTGCCCCCTTGTTTCATATCTTAATATGGAAAGTTAATTTGAGCTGTTTTGAAGTAGCCAAACAGTTTCTATTGCATGTTTTTCTGGACTATGATAAAAATTTAATGATATGTAAAGCACCTGGAAAATAAAGTGCTCTACAAGTATCCTGAAAATGTTTATCTCAATGCATCAGAAACGAAGAGCTTCACTCATTTGTTCAAATTTGTCAGGACCACGTATTTAGGTCGGTTAAATTAGGTTTAAAAAATAATCTCTCATAAGTGGCCTTCACGAACAGCAGTGCATATATGTGGTGTTATGTGATACAAAATTAAGTCAGTTGTCTTTTCCACACAAATTCTGGCTGTAAAATATCAATGCATCCAGTGAGAGTTTTAATGCAGAACCAAATTTTTAAAAAATCATTTTAAGTTTACTAAGTAGAGAAACTTTTTAGTACTTTACTGAATAGTCATCTCCACATTCACATTCTGTGTATTTTCTCATGGTCAGCAAACTGATTCAAATGATTTAAGTTATCCCACCATGTAAACAGAAAAGTCTCTGCAATACTTTGAAACCATGGAGTTATCTTAATTTCACCCTTGGCTGCCTTTTTCAACATTTGTACCACTTCCTCCTTTGACACGTAGGAACAGCTTTTAATCTCATTGGGGTCTGGATTCAAAGTCACGTTCTTCCTCACAAACAATATGTAATCTATTTCATGTTCTCCCCAGATACTATCAGACTGAGCCTTGTAGTGAATTCGGGTCAGATATTTAATATCTTCTGGAGGAACCTAGAATGAAAACAAAACAGTAACAAAAACGTGAACAACAAAACAAGTAATCTAAACCTACCACATTTCAGTACTATTTTGAACAAGAAAAACAGAGTTTTAGTTAGGACTTTTAAAATATTAATTTCCAATTGATGATATATTACTACATAGTATCAAGTATCTAAATTTTTTCATAGGACCAAAAATATAAGTTAACTTACTGAAATAATATTTTTTAAAAAGCAGTCAAACTGGAATTGTGACTTTCTTCTTCATATCTTAATATTACTCTTTGGGAGAAAAAAATATTTACCATTTAACTAGATGACAGATTATTTATTCAGGTTTTATTTAAAGGGGACAATTCTGGGGGTGGGGGTGGGGAGATGATTTCAATTCAGATTTACAGATTATATTCCTAAGAATTTCTACAAGAAAATATTCATGTTTGATATGATCAATGATAAAAATATTCAACTTTATATACTGGTTAACCGATCAATTCATTTTGGTACTGAGCTAAATTCTGACAAATATTAAATTGACACCAAAATTTAAATAATCTTTATTCAAGGTGCTTTTAGGGGTCAGTAACTTAAGAGATTACAAAGCAGAGACCCACACCTGAATTTAAAATTTTACTGAAAAGTGTTTTAAAGAATGTTTAAACCTGGCTGGTGTGGCTCAGTGGATTGAGTGCCAGCCTGCAAACTGAAAGGTCAATGGTTTGATTCCCAGTCAGGACACATGCCTGTGTTGCAGGCTGGGTCCCCAGTGGGGGGCATGTGAGAGGCAATCACACATTGATGTTTCTCTCCCTCTCTTTCTCCCTCCCTCCCCCCTCTCTAAAAGTAAATAAATAAAATCTTTTTTTTTTTTTTAAAGAATGTTTATATTTCACCTTGTATGTTCGCTGTGCAAACAACTTGGTTACCTGTTCCATAGGAATTCCCAATTCAGCCTTTAAACGCCTCTGTGCTGCTCGCCTTACTCCGATTGCATCATTTTCTTCAAGCTCTCCTGGGTTACTTAAGGGATGACTACAACAAGTATTGGTAAAACAACCTGGAACATGTTAATATAAATGTAGATTAACTTTTCTTCAAAGTAACCCTAAAAGGCCAAGAAAACTGAAGTTTTTAAAGTAATAGAAAAATTAATCAAATGATTATGAGGATTAATTTCTAAATCAGTTATAATAGACTATGGTAACAGGGAATAAATACACTATGCTTATATAAGGTTACCCAAATTGATCTTAGTAAATACTAACCCCAGCTTGTTACTCTAGCCTGATTTTTTCTCTTGAAACTAAAGCTTTCATATTTAAAGTTTTTTTAGCTTACAGTTCAGCAGTTTCAGTTCCAATGTGAACCTAAGGAGCAGCCCAACCTTAAAGCCCCAGCTAACACTAACCATCCAGACACAGGAATTCAGCTGACAAAAAACAGATAGTCAGCTCAGGGACACTGACCATGAAAATCCATATCGGGACCAGCAAGGACACTGCCTGCATGTCCACAGTCCCTCCCCCGATCTCCTTGTGCTTTTCCTCTCCCTCTTTATAAAAACCTCTGCCTGCACTGAGATGTTAAGGTGGGCTTTGGGATGAGAGTCCCCCATCACAGGTGGCTGGCACTTGAATAAACTTCATTTCTTTCCAATACCACCTGTCTCAAGAGTTTGGCTTTTGTTGCAGTGGGCAGCTGAACCTGGGTTTGGTTATACTATATCAGTCATCATTTTGTGAAATAGACATGTGTAGGTTAAGTTTATTATCTTTAAAAAATTTATTTATTACTTTGAGAGAGAGAGGGGAAGAAGAGAGGGAGGGAGAGAGACAGGCAAAGGGACATCGATTTGTTGTTCCACTTATTTAGGCATTCTCTGGTTGATTCTTGTATGTGCCCTGACCAGGGATCGAACCTGCAAACTTAGTGTATCAGGATGATGCTCTAACCAAATGAGCTACCTGGGCAGGGTTATTAATGCCATCTCAACCAAAAAGATCAATATGTGTGTAAGACACAGATTTCTTTTTTAATCCTCACCTGAGGATATGTTTATTGATTTTAGAGAGAAAGGAAAGGGGGGGGGGTCCAATGTGAGAAAGTAACAAACATCAGTTGCTTCCTGTACTTGTCCTGACCAGGGATCAAACCTGCAATCTTACGGTGTACAGGATGATGTGCCAACCAGCTAAGCCACCTGTCCAGGGCAAGATACTGATTTTTAAAATATTTATGTAAATAGTCTTGGCCGGTGTAGCTCAGTGGATTGAGCACCGGCCTGCGAACCAAAAGGTCACTGGTTCGATTCCCAGTCAGGGCAAATGCCTGGGTTGCAGGCCAGGTCCCCAGCAGGGGGCACGTGAGGGGCAACCACACATTGATGTTTCTCTCCCTCTTTTTCTCCCTCCCCTCTGTCTAAAAATAAATAATCTTAAAAAATATATATGTAAATATATACACATACCTAGTAGTTTTTGTCCTGTATTGCTATTTCATTAGGTCGCAATCATTGTATAAGTTTCTTTTATGTAGAATATGAAATTATGTCATTCACAGGATTTCTCCTGTTGACAATAGCTAACCAGAAAGTTCCAAGTGACAAAGTCAAATTAAATATAGCTTCCAACAAAATACGGTGTATTAGGCCACTAACCTGGAAAAGTAATTTTAGCATCTGATCTCTGCTGTAGCAGGAGCTTATTTTCAGTGTTGAATAAGAAGACACTAAAAGCTCGATGCAACAATCCTGAAAGCAAAAGCAATACTATTAATTTAGTTCTAAAATACCAATTATGTGCCTAATTTTCTACTTGGGATTTAGGATATTAATAACTTGCTGGCATTTGTTTTTTTCCCATTGTCTTCTACTTAATGAGTCTCTGCATGGTTACAATAGAGAAGAGCTCCAGAGAAATGGTGATCTCTTGGCCAGTCTGCTATTGAACCACTTCCTGAGAATACTGGGAAGGTATGTGCTTTCTTTTACGATACTTGTCTCTCCATTCACTAACCCACAAAACACTATAGGCTTGACAAGTGCTATTCTGCTAAGATTGGTCTATTCCCGCTTTTCCAAACCAAGATAATCCTGAAAAAGCTCATTAAAAGATATGAGTAGAGAGAAATAGCTGTTTGGGAGAGAAAGTAGCAAGATGGATTTTACTATTACACCCCTCAACTAATTGGAACCAAAGATAAACTATAACATGATTAGAGATCACATCTTTACCAACATGCTTTTCTCAGGATCCTGAAATGTCTAGGCAAGTCATTTTCTCACAGAGTATTTTAAAATAGTACCTTTCTCAATGTTTTCATTCAGGTGACAATTTTTTTTGGTCTCAGCCCCAATTTTATTGTCATTTTCATCAATAAGAATACACATCTCTGCCAGGAGCTGAACCTGCTGCTTATCAAGATTGCTGGTGTTGATTTCAGGCATTGTTACAAAATATCTGATCTGTCCTAGGGCCCTATGAGGAAAGAGAAAGAAAGGTTATTACATCAGGTATCTGTAACTTTCATATGAACACAGTGATGAATCAATTCTGAAACCATTAGCCCAGTAAGCAAATAAGCCATTTCAAAGGGTAAGCATGGTGCTTGCTGGGCTGCTGTTCCCACCTCTCTGAGTCCTCATCTTGCGGCCCCATCTTGGCTACCATTTCTCCTACAGGCTATCAGCTGGCCTCCTATCTTAACCATTCTCTTAACTGCCAGACTCATTGCTGTCCTCTAAATTCTTGTCCTGTGAGACCCTATGCAACACTTGTCAATCCTCTCCTCTGTACACCTCACTTCTTTATGAGCCTGCCCATCTATGATATAGCCCCAACCCCACTTTTCATCCTGTTTTTCAACATTTCTGTATTGTCTATGATAACCCATATTATATATTACCTACGTAAATGTGGGTTATCTGGTAACCATTTACACCCCAAAAGCGTTACCGTTCCCTCCTATGCCACATACCAATCTCTGTTAAAATCCATTTTTCAACGTTCAATTTATGTGCCCCAAACTCACAAACCTTTTCTTAATATCCCAGTAAGTAAGATTTAACCCATTTTTTCTCAACCTGGGCTCCTAATAAGATTGTGACCGCTGCGTCCATTCTCCAAAGGCACACAGTAACTAACATCACTGCTGATGTGACAGTTCACCATCGGCAGTGAGAGTCCCCCGCCCGCTGCCAGCGCAGACGCAGTCGCTGGCTGCGTGTGAACTGTTCCCAGGAAACTGGAGTTTCACGCAGTTTTCACAAACCATAAAATATTTGCTTCTCTCATTCCCCACACTCTCCCCTCCCCGCCTTCCCGCAAACTAAAACTTAAAAACTATCCTTGGCTCACAGGACCTTAACAGGCGTGGGGCTGCATTTGGTCCACAGGCGAAAGTTGGTCCCTCCCCAGCAAAGCTTACTAAGACTCAATGCTGAGCCCCCGGGACTCTCCGGGGCCTGCCCCTCGTCTGTCCTCTCGGGGCGCCCCAACCCTAGTCTCTCCCCGTCAGCAGCCTGCCCCACATTTGTCCCCACGAGGACCCCATCGCCCCGTCTCTCCCTCGGGAGGCCAGGAGCTCAGTCTTTCCCCTAGGGAATCCCCACCCCTAGTCTTTCCCCCACAAGGACCTGCCCCCGTCTCTCCACTGAGGACCCCCGGGAGATCTCCCAACTCTCCCCCTCTGGGACGCCCTGAACCTGAGCAAACGACCGTCCGCTGGCTGCCGCTCCGTCGCGCAAACCCCTCTACGGCTCTGTCCCTTAGTCCAGGCTCCCAGCGCCGCGCGCCCAATCGCTCGAACGTTTGCCCAAGCGCTCCACATGTCTGCAGGCCAATCGCGCGCCGGCCCAATCCTGACGTCACGGTCGTGCGATGGCGCCACGCCCGGCTGAAAGTGTTCCCACGCTGGGTGGAGAGTCGAAGAGTCTCCTCTACGACGAGCGCGGCGGCCCCTACTCCGCCTCTCGTGTGCCTCTCCTTAAGAGCCACCTGGCGAAGCGCTGCTTTAAAGCCCTCGCAGGGAGCCAGCGAGTTGGGCTGCGTGCTGGAAGTCGTTCCTGGGCGTTGGCGCCCAGGCGTGGACTGGCGCCTGCGCACTGGGGCCCTGCGCACTGAACCTGAAGTACAGCCCGGCTCGCTGAGGTCGCCTCTGCCGGTTCGAGGCTTGAAGGTGTAGTTAGAAGTCACTGTTGATGTAGTAACTTGGGGGCCACGTATTCCGAGTTACGTTGTTTGGAATCGTTGAAGAGCTTATCTGCAATGGGAAATTTCTGCAAGTCCTAAAGCGGTTACGTTACCAGGGGCAGTTCATCAGGGCTGAGCGTAGAGACAGTTTGAGACTTGCGCTTGGATAGGACAGAGCTGGTGGCAGTCATATGCTTATTCATATACTTACAGAAAGTTATATGTTAGTGTTACTTTTTAAATTTATTTTTCTTTTAAAAAATAGTGTATTTATAGAGAGAGGGGAAGGGAGGGAAAAAGAGAAGGAGAGAAATATTGATGTGAGAGAATCATCAATGGGCTATCTCCCGTATGCACTCCAACCAGGACTGAACCCACAACCCAGCCATGTGCCTGGGCAGAATCGCCTGTGACCTTTCGTTTTGCTAGATGGTGCCCAACCACCTGAACCACACCGGTCAGGGCTGTCAGTAATACTTTAATGCAGACTACAATGTGAATTTACCTTTCAATGTTTAAATACAAAGTAGATGTAATTGAAATTAAGTTTAGTTGAGGAGTAAGCATTACTAAGAGATTCACTTAGAATAGAGTCTGGAGGCTTTTAGGGAAGTGGGGGCCTACGCACATCTCGTCCCTCAGTCCCCAGAGCTGCTATTAGGTTGCTAAACTCAGCTCGAGGCTGAGCCATAAACAGCATAATGGATCCACCGTTGTATGTATACATATGAACTTGTTGGAAGACAAAACCCAACTTAGTAAATTTGAAGATCTATTTTGCATTATTAAACTATTCCTGAGTATGGCAACATCCCACCTAGCAGCTAGAAGGGTAGACCCAGGAGTTCTACAAAATGGAAGGGCTTAATAGGAAGAAGGATGGGGCAAGGGAGCTACTAGGGAAAGAAAAGAAAGGATTTTTGTTGAGGGGGTTGGGTCAGGACATCTTTACTTTGGAGGAAGAGAAGGGGAAAGATTTTAGTTATACAGATTATCTCTTCTTTCAATGGGGTATGGAGAGGGTCCCCATGACAGATTATCTTACTGGTGCTGGACCAGAAAATTCCATACTGGTTTATTAAAATTATGTTTCTAGGACAGGTTGAAATTGCAATGAAATCAGGTATTAAATCTACCTGTTTGTTTATCATGGGCTCTTACACGTGATGGCATTTGTGGCCTGTGATTTTTTCTTTTAATTTTTATTGAATTTATTGGGGTGACATTGGTTAATATTACCTATCATAGGTTTCAAGTGTACAATTCTGTCATACATCATCAGTGTATTGCATTGTGGGTTTACCACCCACAGCAAATGTTCCATCACCATATATTTGACCCCCTTTACTACCTCCCCAGCTAGCTAGTCATTTATCTATTTGGTTTATAACTAAATTCCTTTTGTTAATTGATCTGCTTTATTTCTCTGGTATTGCTTTCTCTTTTAATAATTGTTCTTGGTAATCTTGGTGTTTATCTTTTCTAAATGAACTTTGGAATCCACTCGTGGAGTCCTCTGGGCTCTCTTGCCCAAACTGGCCCTGCATGCTGCCTTCTCCCCTTAAATCATCTGTTGGCTTTTTAATTGGTCTGAGTGTGGTTTTATATGCTTTTTTGCAGATGGAGAATTTACTGTTAGTTTTTCATATCAGTTTCTTTCCCATTTGGCAAGGTATTTAACATAAACATTTCCCATAATATCTTCTCAGGAGAGCCCCCCTTTCATCCCAGAAGGAGTGGTGGCATGTCAGATGTCAGCACTAAATTATTTCTTTTTGTACAATGTACAATTACTGTCAATTTGGCCAAATGAAAAGGGGTGGGGACCTTTCTTTTTTTAAAGCAAAAATACTTTGTTACAGAGTAAAATGTAGCCTAAGGCAGGCACTACAGCAATTAAATGTGAGCATCTTCTGCTTCAGTAGTCCACTACTGCAAAATTCACGTGTGTTGAGTGAAACACAAACATCCCAGCACTACCACAAATGCACTTCCTATGGGTCTGCTTTCATTTAAAATGGAAATCATTGTGAGGTACATGTAGGCTGAAAACCCACAAGCACATGTTAGAATATTAAGTGTGAAAAAGCACCACTTCTTGACCGACATGACAGGATATTAAGTGCATAAAACATCACTTCTTGACCACAAAACAGTACCGTTGTTACAACTTAGCATGCATGCAGTTAACAAGTCCTCTTTGCTGACCCTTGGAGCACTTTCTAATTACACCTGTGTACGGCAGTCTTCTATGCAGTGTTTTGCAATATACAGCAGGGCCTTGCATAATGTCTCACTATGAGTGAGATGCCTTCATTTTTCCTACAGGCTATTAGCTGGCCTTCTATCTTAACCATCCTCTTAACTGCTAGACTAAATGCTGTCCTCTAAATTCTTGTCCTGTGAGACCCTACGCAACACTTGACAGTCAACCCTCTGCCTCTGTACACTTTACTTCCTTAGGCACCTGTCCATCTATGATGTAGCCCCATCCTCACTTTTCATCCTATTTTTCAACATTTCTGTATTGTCTATGATAACCCATATTATATATTATATATACAAATGTGGGTTACATGTTAACCATTGTAACGGGGCACAGCCAGGGCCCTCCACAAAGGGTATTTGTAACAGGGTCCAGAAAATGGGGTGTCCAAGAAAAATATATTCTCCCTACCCCAGGGCAGGCCGCCATGGGGGATGGGAGCCTTGAGCAGGGCTACTGAGAGTCATTTTGCAAGTCAGTAACATGATAGCTTCATTCCTCATATGCAAAGAGGGTTGTTTTGCATATCACCAAGGCTAATCAGGAAGGTTTAAAAGACTTAATACAGAATGTAACTGAAAGAGGGGAAAGGAAGGAGGAGAGACAGGGGCCTGAGGGAGAGACAGAGGGACACAGACTCTGGGGAACAGTGTGAAGACCACACAGGAAGAAAGAGGGGATAAAGGACTCTTGCTAGTGGGCCATGAGAAGGTGCCACATGGTGATGCATTAAGAGTTGGAGTTCGCAGCGACGCAGCGGATGGCGCTGAGAACCGAGAGGCCTGCCTAGCCGAGCCCCAGACTTCTGTTCGTTCTTCTGAAGGATGGTACCGCTGACAGGCCTGACTGGCCTAACTGGGCAAAGCGGGGGAAGGCAGGACTGTGTGTGTGCTGGTGATTGTTTTAAAGGGATTTTGAGATTTAAGAGTGACATTTAGCCATTAATCAAAACTGTGTAACTTTTGAATAAATAGTTCCTTTCCTTTTCACCAAACTCTGCCATTCAGAGCCATAGTTTCACTCACTGTGAAATTAGTTGTCCCTTTTCGTTTAGCACGTGGACAGCACGCAAGGTGACAAGCTGCACTGATGGCACATCTGATCTGGATGAGACCTAATACAGAGTCTGTAATGTTTTTTTGAGGCAAGAAAGTACATGTTCCAGTGTCATGCATGAGGCACAAATGGCATGGGTCAGCACGTCAGTCCTGGTGAAGTTTCATCATATGAACTGGGCCCTGTGGTCCACAAAACTATGAATTAACTTTCCTCCTCTTTTAGTGAGAGCAGTTGCTGAAAGGACAAAGACAGCGCCATTTGCTATTGTGGTGCCATTTGCCGAGCAGGCCTATAACCTTGTTAAACATGACTGCCATTTTATTCTTAGCTTGTCCCCAGAAAGCAAGAACAGACCCTAACCCCTCCTTACGGCCACAGGCAGAAGATAACATTGGAACAAACTGCTATAACCGCCCCAGGGCCTCACAACAGCACCCACCCTTTGATCCAATTACAATTAAATAAAAGCTCAAAGCCCCACCCCTCAATGCTGGGGTACCTGTCCACACCATCCCCCGCTTTTCGTGGAGAGTGAATAAAACTTTACTCTCTGTACTTTCTTCTCTTTGTGAATTCTTTCACAGCCTGAGTCACTGCCACCCTAACAGTTGAACAGGAGAAACTGAGTAGTTGTCCAGGTGATTGTATTTGCAAGCCAGCTGATTGTTTTTCTTCCTTCTCCTTTTGCATAAATCTAGGTAAATTTGGTACATAAAAGGAACTGAAAAACTTAACCAATGCCATTCAGGAATCTATATACTCATGGGAAGTACAAATATTTGTTTTGCTCTTAGTAAACATTTCTGGGTGCATACTGTGCCAGGCACTTTTCTACATTATGGGAATAAAGCAGTGAACAAAATAGAAAAAGTTTACATGCTAGTGGGGAAAACAGTAACAAATACAAAAATAATGTCAATAGGTTATAAGTACTAAGAAGAAAAATAAGGTACAGTTAAGGGATAGTGATGGATTCTGCCATTTAAAAGTAAGTGATAAGGAGAGTTATGGTCAAGATGGAGGCATAGGTAAACATGCTTTGCCTCCTTGCCCAACCACAGGAAGAATTCCAACTGGACCTCAAAACAAATTAACGCCCAGAACCATTAGAAAATTGAGCTGTATATAAGTCCGACAACCAAGGATTAAAGAAGCCACATTCATCCAGATGGATGGGAGAGGTGGATATACGAAGTGGGCCAAGGGGCATGCAGATGCAGTGTGGTGCGCAGAGGCAGCAGCAGTGAAACGAGCAGTCCCTCATTCATGTGTGGTGGATAAAAACTGGTAGGGATGCTTTTGGAGCCAGCAATTCCAGCCCCAGGCCAGACCACACAGCCCGGGTTCCTGGGCCAGGAAGATAAATCCCCCTAACTTCTGGCTGTAAAAACCAGCAGGGCTTGGGATGGTGGAAGAGACAGCCACATTTTCAGGAGACTCGGCTTACAGGGCCTACACAGACTTAAAATGTATGCAAACCCACCCCAAATGGGATTCAGCAAAGGGGCAACAGCTGGAATAGCACCAGGCCCAC